CGCCGCGCCCCGCCCTCACTCACACCTCCGCGACCACGTGGTGGACCAAAACAAACGCCCGCCGACAGGTGGCTATGGCCGTGGTGCGTAGTGCCCCGCGAGCCCCCCACTGGTGCTGCTCGCGACTGTCGGCGGTAGCCCCAGGGTGATTCCGAACAGCATTTCCGTATTACCTCCGTCCTTGGCGCACTCGTGGAGCGGAGAGGGCGAGACCGTGCGTGCAGGCCCAAAAGACTGCAGCCTCTCGCTCATCTTCGTTTTCATCAGTGACATACGCAATCGGAGCCCGTAAAGCCCTATAGGCCGGGTTTGAAAGAGGTGGAAGCGGGTGGAACGCGGGAATCAACGCCCAACCATCGTTGCCTACTCACACGCGGAAATGAGTGCATTTTCTACCATGCCGGTCACACATTAAGACCCCCCCCCCCCCCCAATGAGCCCCCGGATTTGAACACACTAAACTCTAATTCATTATGTCGTGCATAAGACTTGCTGAGTTTAAGGCAGTCATAATTATGCACAACTTTTCATGCCTACAATATGCACGATTATGTCCACTATGCACAACTCTGTGCTTGGTCAAATACATCTTTTACATAGTTGTGCACGACGTATCGTGAACATCGCTACGGCCGCTTAAAATGCTGCATACTTATGCTTCACACAATGCATTAAGGGTTTAGTGTGAATACAGCCAACGCGAAGCCGGTATGCGTCACACCAGGTACCGGTCTTCATTCAGCCCGCGAGTAGCAGCGCAGGGTGCCGGCCCGGCCGCGGGCAGCCCCGCCCGGCCCATGCGCTGGCCCACGGCTTATAACAAGTGCTGTAGTAACGAGCTCAATTAACGTCCTCATGAGCGCCCGGCGGCGTGGCACAGCGTGGCGGGGCGGGGCGCCGATGGCCGATGATGGGTCCCTTTGGTCCCTTCACATGTTGGCCCTCCGCTGCAGCAGCACGCGCCGACGATTCCGATACTGTGATCGCCGCCGTCCAGCGCGGCCAAGAGGGCCGGCGGCGTCGGTCAGCTGGGGCGTGGCGGCCGGGGGGTACGTCGTGGGGCATAACGTTCTCGCCCCGGCAGTCGCGTACGGTGACTCTTCGCAGGCAACGAAACCCCCCCAGGTACCCACACCCACAGGCCAGGCCAGCGCGCCAGCCACGTATAGTGAAAGATAGAGTGCGCCCTCCGAAGGGGCCCGCAGCAGAGTCGGCAGAGCTGCCAGCTGCAGCAGCAGCGACGGCCTGTCTTGTAAAAGTTGCTCCTTATCGGAACAAGGAGTGGGAGAGGGGAGCGGGGGCGGATGTCCGAGAAGTGCATCTCGTTCTGCGGTGCATGGCATGGCTGCCTGGCTAAATATAAGAGGACTCCTTGACTGGGCGGGTCAGAGCAGCCGAGGCTGGGCGGGCCGCAGCCCGCAGCGGCAGCCGAGAAGCCGAGCGGCCCGCGGGGACGGGACGGCGGCAGGTCAGGTCGTAGCCTCCGGGTCCAGGCGGGAGGCAGTGTCTCCGCCTCTCCCTCTCTTGAATGGCGGTGCCGAGGGTGAATACTGGTCTTCCATCTTCTCGTCGGCTCGATGCGATGCCAACTGGATGCACTTACACTAAAATAGAATATCGGCCGTAATCTATCTTGGCGAGGGCGCCTCCTATCTTCGACACTTCTTGCGGCGATGCCGATGATCACAGGATGGGCCCTGCGTTGCCAGGAAGTCTGGTCACGGTTATGAATGTGGCGCTGCACAGCGAAGTGAAGTTGCGGGGGAGGAGGCTCGGCCGTCAGATGGGTTGCCTACGGCTGGGCGCCGGTCCGAAGAACGTTGGGCTGCCTACGCGGCGGGCGGCGGCGGGCGGCAGCGGTCTCCGGCTGTCCGATGGGCGGCCTACCTCGGCGGCGCGCTGTGGCGCACAAAGCCACTGGGTGATGTCTCCCGGAGAAAACTGGTTCAGCGAGCGGGGAGGGCCGGGGTGCCCCCTCCCTCCCCTCTACTCCTCTACAGCAGCTCGCGGTCGCGGTGTCGGCGACGACGAGGGCAACCAACCGATGGCGGCAACAATTGAGACGACCTCTCCTGCATACGAAATGACCTTGCCGTCTCCTCTTCGGCAGCGGCCGAGACGACGGCGCGCTGCCCGTCCCGGGGACCTACTCACCTTGGCGCCGAGGTGCGGGTGAACGAAGTAGTAGATCTGGCCGCTCGGGTCCATGTAGGCGCGCCATCCCTCGGGGAGCGGGCCGGGCGCAGCGTCCGGGGGCGGGTCCGCGTCGCAGTCCTCGGCGTCCGCCTCGTCGCCCTGCAGGGGGCTGGAGCTCGCCGACCGCGCAGAGTCCTGCGGGGGCACGGAAGTGAGCATGTAGCGTGATCAACATCTCGGGGATCAGCTCCCCAGCGTCTCCGGACGATGGGCCCTCACCTGACGAGGCCGCCGCCGAGGTGGCTTCCAGCGCCGCTGCCCCGTGGCCGCGTGGTAGTAGAACGACCGTCCGTCCGCCGTCCTGAACTCGGCCCAGCCGGCGGACAGGAGCCTCGCCGCCTCCTGCCCCGGGGAAGGCGGGGGCGGCGACTGGGGGCGGGGCACGCCGGGTGCGGCGGGCGCCGACGGGGTGCCGCCCAAGCCCGGCGCAACCCTCTGGAAGCGGCGACAAGACTCCACCTGCCACAAACACACACACACGCGCGTATAAGCAAACAAAGTAACAGGTCGGCAGAGCCTTGGGCTGCTTATTGCAACCGTTTCGTAAAATGATAAGCAGCCTGGAGGCGCGCGGTGCGCACCACACGTGCGCCACCATCTTGAATACGAAGCAGGCGCCTGTAGACCAGGGTCAGGCCGGGCGCGGCGCGGGTGCGCAGCAGGTCGTGACGCCCTCAGCCCCGGGCCCGGGCCCGGGCCGGGCGCAGCGCGCAGCCGCGGGCACGCGTGCGCAGTCTGCATATCGCACCTGAGGCTAACGGACACGGCCCCCACGGCCCCCGCCCTCCCTACCTTAGCCCCACCGCGCTACACATCCGGCGGTCCCGGGAGGACAATGAGGACATAGACCGCCGGATAATCCCGAACAGCAGGCGCAATACAACAGATTTGAGTGAGAGGGGCGCGACGACGCTCCCGGGCGCTGCGAGCGGGCCAAGGACTGGGGTGCCGAGGATGCGAGCGATTATTCGTATTATTATAACGTCGTTAGGGCCAGCGACCTCTCGCGGCGCGGCTACCCCCACTCCTCTCCAAACGGCCGAAACTAGGTCGCCGTTCAACGCAATTCGACGCACCGTGGCCCTCTGTCCCGCCCGGCGGACGTCCGTGAGGTAATCTGTTCAGTTAGTGTCGCGCCCGCAGCGATTCCCGAGGGGGGCCGGGCCCGGGCCCTCACTTCCCGCGCTCACCTCCGTTTTCGCCTGCCCGCGGCCCGCGATGGCCACGGCGACAGGCGATGATGGCCAGCGGTCAGGACTGACTCGAGTGTCGCACTGCTGGCAATCAGGCGGCGAGTGGTGTACCGCGGCGGCCGCGGGGGAGGGCGGGGAGGGGGGTGGGGGGCGCACCGCGAGCCGCCGCCGCCGTACGTCGCGCGGAAGTCCCCACCTCCCGACCGGGTGCTAAACAACGAATTCGGCGGCGCGTTGGCAAATTTTCGCACACTCCGCGAAGCCTAAATTTGAAAAAAGTTGAGGCCAAATCATTCGGAACTATCACTACAAAGACACCAAGTCGAGTCTAGGAAAGCAGACCCAGTCCCCCCTCCCGCGCGCTACTCTGCTGCAGGGGGCTTCGTTACGTATTTGCAACGCGGCCGCTCCAGTCGCCAGGCCGCCGCTCGGCCCGTGCCGCCGAGGCCCGTGCGCAGTGCATCTCCTTATCACAACACGCGGCGCATGACGTCGGCGCGCTGCACCTATCTGTCCAGCGGGCGCGGGGGCGGCGCGGGGGCGGCGCTGTGCAGCGCGGAGTGCGCCGCAGCCAACGGGACACGACTCGCGCCATCGGCGGGCTTTGAGGGGAGCCTTTGGGCGCGCCTTGCTTTGGCCGCTGCTCGCTCTGCCGGCTCCGCCCCGCTGCGTCCCGTCCGTCCGCGCGCTGCCGCCGAGGCGAAAGTCTTTTCCATGTCCCTTTCTCGCGGAACAGAGGGAATAAAGATGAATGAGACTGCTGCTTTCCTTGACGAGGTCAGTGTCCGTCCGTCAGTCCGAGCAGAGCCGCCGCCTAGCCCCGCAGCACCGGCCGTCCCGAGCTGGGATAAGGGCACTAGTTAAAGGAGGATCTAGTATAAGGGCAGAGGTCGGCGTCAAAGTCGAAGCGCTTCGCACCAAGTCCCAACACGGCCGGACGATACACATACGCCTTATCCTTAAATGCTACTTCGCAACTACACTAGCACGGATAGCAAGGCAAGCGCAACAACCTGCACGGACACTGGAGCAAGGGAGTGGCTGGCTGGGCCCGGTGGGCTGGGGCTAGGCCGCGGCTATTATTGGATGTCGATGACAGCCAGCGCGGCTAACGGGAGGAGACGACTGCTCGCGCGGGGCTCGAAGTGGAGCGCGCCATATGCCCCCCCCCCCCTCTTCTTTTGCCTTGGCTGCACACGCTCTACCACGCGTCGTCACGGAAGCGTCACGCACCTGTCACGCACCGTTACGGGGGGGCGTCCAGCGCCTGCTGCCTGCCCGGCAGCGTGGTCGGCCGTTGGAGGCGCGAAGTATAGTATGGACGGGGGGGCCGATCGTCGCACAATTCTCGAGTATACGCCCGCACGCGGCGGCGACCCCGTGCGCCGAAAGCATGACTCGCTCCTTCTGAGCAGGGCTGCTGGCCCGCGGCTCCGAGCGGCCGCCACGGATCACAAGTCGGCAGCGGATCCGGCCGCGGGGGCCGCGGGGGGCCGAGGGGGCGGGCAGGCCTGGGCTGCGTAAGGAAGCAATCCCCGCGCGCCGCCCATTTCACGGCCGATTGGGCCGCAACGAGTCGCAATCACTAGAGCCGCCCTCGGAACAAACTCAATATCCGGCCGAGAATTTCACCGATTGAGCAAAAGGGACAGGCGCAGGAGCGGAAATATCGCCGTTAATTTTTAGACAGTCCCCAAGGCTGTCTCTACCAGAAGGCAGCCCCCCCCCCCCTTCCCCTCCTCGTTCTTTTCATGAGTGGCGGAAAAAGTTTTCCACGATGTGTCGTTAATTTATGAACTCATGTTCTAAAATTACAAATACTCGCCGCGATAAGCTACACGGAAACCTTCAGAGTGTCATTCTCGTTTGTCTATTTAATTTTAGGTCCGCAAATCCACAGAGGCGGCCCCGAGCGCACACCACCCAGTCCAGGGGAGGCAAACAGCGATAACGTTCCGCTTCCTCTCGATCGCGGCACTCATCTCTTGAATCAACAGCGGACATGATGTGCGCCCGGGTGCCCGCCCATGCGTCGCTAGGCGAGGAGGGCCGTGCAAATGAAAGGGAAAACAACCGGTCTGTCGACAGCCCGGCCCGGCCGGCCGCTGCTGCTGCTGCGGCTG